GCTTTGTGTTTGTGTGTGTTGTTTGTGCACATGTGTGTTTGTGTGTTTTGTGCTTGTGTGTGTGCATACGTTTGTGTGCTTGTATGTGATTGTGTGTATATGTTTGTGCATGTGTGTGCATGTGTGTTTCTGCTTGTATGTGTGTGTTTCTGCTTGTGTTTGTGTGTTTCATGCTTATGCTTGTGTGTGTTGTTTGCATGTGTGTTTATCTGTGTGTTTGTGTGCATGTGTGTGTTTGTGTGCATGTGTTTGTGCATGTGTGTGCGTGTGTTTATTTATGCTTGTGTGTTGTGCTCGTGTGTTGTTTGTGTGTGTGCATACGTGTGTGTTGTTTGTATGCATGTGTGTGTGTGTTTGTGCTGGTGTGTTTGTATGCATGTGTGTGTGTTTGGTGTGTGTTTGGCATGTGTGTGTGTTTGGTGTGTGTGTCTGGTGTGTATGTGTTTGGTGTGTTGTGTTTGTGTTTGTATGCCTGTGTGTTGTGTGTGTGTGGTGAATGTGTGTGTGTGTGTACGTATGTTTGGTGTGTGTGTGCATGTGTGTTATGTGCATGTGTGGTGAATGTGTGTGCATTTTGTGTGTGTATTTGTATGTGTGTTGTTCGTGTGTGCGTGTGTTTAGTGTGTGTGTGTTTGTATTGGTTGCTAAGCACTTGGTATGTGTCAGGCATCCCCTATTACTAGATGCAGCCTCTTCTTAAAACAGTTTGGATGTCATCATGAAGAGCCATGTATCTCCTTACTTTTTCTGGAAGTTTGGGAAGGGATTCTCATTGGGCCACTTACGTATTTGACTGAGGTTTCCTGTGTCACAGTCCCTCCAGTGTTCTGGGCAGCAGACTGGCATCCAGCCTTTCCTTCTCCTGTCAGAAATGGATTATTCTGGCATCTTCCTTCCATGCCATTTTCAGTTCCCCTAACCTCCAGTCTCTTGAAGCCATTTAGCGTCTCTTGGTACTGAGTAATCCCGTTTATTAAAGCATGGGAAGCTTCCTTAATGGCAAGTGTTGGCACAAATAGTTTTGCAGCCCCAAGGGACAGGGTCATTTGAACTTGGTGACTGGAAAAACGGTCGGTGTGAATAATGCGAAGTGCAGGACCATGGTGATGAATGTCCCTCACCCTCTTTGTTCCTTGTTTTCTTTGTCAGGCAGAATGTTTAACCCATATTTTCCAAGAACTGTGTAGGTGGGTTGCTGGGGACAATTGATTTTTAGAAAAGTGTTGTTTCTTTGGATGTGGAAACCAAGAAGCAAAGAATAATATTGAGCAACAATCCTCCTGATGACCAGGCCTGGGCTAATTATGGCAGTAGTGTTGCAATGTGTTTGGGCCATTATGCAGTATAAGAACACCACTTCCCCTCAAGATGCCCTGGACACAGGGTAATCCTCAGGGCCTTGCTCTAGCCCCATGTCACTCAATGTCAAGTGGATCATCTACTTTCTAAGGCTGTAATTGGTCCTAAAGAAGAAGGAGTGGAGCCTGGCAGGAGGAAGGGACACAGGTATTTGTGTGAGGAATACTGAGTGGTGATGGTAGTTCTGGTACTGCCCTGGCTTGCTGTGTGAGTCTTCTCACCTGTCTGAGCAGTGGGATCACCATCTTTGAGGAGATTGGACTAGGTGGTTTATTTTATTTTATTTTGAGAGAAGATCTTGCTCTGTTGCCCAGGCTGGAGTGCAGTGGTGCAATCTTGGCTCACCGCAACCTCTGTCTCCCGGGTTCAAGCAACTCTCATGCCTCAGCCTCTCAAGTAGCTGGAATTACAGACTTGCACCACCACGCCTGGCTAATTTTTGTATTTTCAGAAGAGATGGGGTTTCACCATGTTGGCCAGGCTGGTCTCGAACTCCTGGCCTCAGGGGATCTGCCTGCCTCAGCCTCCCAAAGTGCTGGGATCACAGGATGAACCACTGTACTCAGCCTTGGACTAGGTGCTTTCTAAGGAGTGGGGATGGGTCAATGGGAGGGTGCCTTCCCTAAATAAAGGGGCCAGCCCTCCCTTAGCATCCACTTGTTGTATTGTGGGAGGGTGGGTTCAGTGCTGCCAAATTAATTTTTGGACTTTGAATATAATAAAAATTTATGAATTTTGGATGTAGGCAATAACTTCCAAAATATTTGAAATACCCTGTGGGTGAAATCTGTAGTTGGATAAAGTCCCTAGGACTTTGCTTTGCAACTCAGCATTCATGCATTGCTCTCCGTGGCTTCTTATAGGCTGGGGGCCAGGAGGTGAGGGAAGCTCTTGTGATTTGTTTTGTTTTGAAATTGGTATAAGTATGTTCAAGGAACTAAGAGAGCAAAACCAGACTGGAAGCTGGGTCACAAGATGCTGTTGCCTAGAGACTTAGACAGAGGGCATGGCATTCGCTCCCTCATAGAGGGAGACGGCCAACGGCAGGAGCCTCAGCAGCCCAGCCCCTTAAGATTGATTCCTGGGTCCTCCACCCACTGTCTCTGGCTCTGTGGACTCCATGGCATTCAGAGCTAGGGGAAATCAATTATTTCATCATCTTATTCTTTTCAGTTAATAATTACATTTTGGAGATCTTTGTGTGTGCACATGTGTGTGTACACGTACATTATTCTTTTTTAACTGCTGTATAGTATTACTTAAGTATTTTCCCAAACTATTTCTTATACACACACACACACATATACACACACACACACAGAGGCCAAACATCTTGTCTTTTTTTGTTTTTTAAAGACAGAGTCTTGCTCTGTCATCCAGGCTGGAGGGCAGTGGGGCAATCATGTTTCACTGCAGGCGTGACCTCCTGGGCTCAAATGATCCTCCTGCCTCAGCCTCACCAAGTAGCTGGGACTACAGACATTCTCCATCACACCCGGTTAATTATTTGACTTTTTTTTTGTAGAGAAGGGGTCTCACTACGTTGCTCGGGCTGGTGTCAACCTCCTGGGCTCGAGTGATCCTGCTAACCAGCCTCCCAAAGTGCTGAGACTACAGGCATGAGTCACCGCACCTAGCCCCAAACATCTTACTGGACAAGCCTTTCTTGGCCACTCTATGCAGACAGGACCCATCTCGCACCTCCATCTTCCCTTTTTTTTTTCTGTCTTAATTGATCACCATAGCACTTATCATCATCTGACCCACCATATAGTTATTTGCTTATTTGTTTGTTGACAGTCTGACACCCCCAACCCCTCATGAACCCCGGGAATGCAGAGACTTCTGTTAATTTTATTAAGTGCTTTATTCCCTGGAAAATGGTAGGTGCCTACTAAATGTTTGTTAAATGCATAAGTCTCTGTTTTGGAGATGACCTCCAGGCCCAGCCTCAGGCACAGAAAGGTAAAGTAACTTAATCAAAATCACCCAGCTCCTGACAGGCAAATCTGGGCCCAGAGCCCATGCTCTAATCTAAATCATTACTACCTGCCTACTGGTAACAAACAAAACCTCAGCGCAGTGCCTGCAACACAATAAGGACTCAGTAAATGTTAAATAAAGGTAATAATGCTTACAACAACAATCTTTGCCCCCAGAAAGATCCTTACCTTGAGGAGATAGCAAGGATTTGAGATGTTCAATATAAAATACCAAGTATGGTGCCTGTGCATAGCTGGCCATCAATGAGTGGTGGCTATCTATTATTATGCTTGTTATTTTATTATACTTTAGCACATTGTGTTGTACTTAAATGCCACTTGTTTGCCCTACTTATCTTTGTCCCTCCTGAGGGTACAGAGTGAGCCTTATTCATTCCAGCATTCCGACAATCTTGTACATCCATACAATTCTTGGTATGTGGTTGACATACACTACTGTAAGGTCCGTGAATGAGTAAGTAGATAAAGGAACGAACAAATGGGCCAGTGGTTTGTTGGGGCCACTCTGGCCAGTGGTTTGGGGACATGCTTCCTGGAGTCTTATCCCCTCTTGTCAGATTCAGGTTTAGGACAACGGTACAGTTGTTCCATTGTTCCCAGATAACATATCCTATCTTAACGTCTTTGCTGGGGCAGCCCTTGGACACACCCTGAGCTCCTGCCCTATCACTGGCCCCACTTGGACCCCTTGTGGGCAGGCACCACTGCAGACTGCTCTGAAGGGAGCTTTCATGTGGCCGGCCGACCCTACTCCTTGACTCCTCCCTTCTCTCATTGAAAAAAAATGTTTAAGGGGACATTTCTCTCTCCTAAACTTTTTATGTTCCATTGAAGACCTAGAAAACATGTTAAATAAAAATGCTTTGCAACAGCTGACCTGTGTCTTCTGGCTTGTACCCCACAAACACCTTATCTAATGGGTAAGTCAGTTTTTATCTTTATTTTACTACTGAAGAAACTGATGCTTAAGTGTTGCATGCTTTTTAAGTCACATAGTATTAATGAAACAGCCTAAGGCCAGAACCAGCTGTCTGCACGCAACCCCAATGCTTTTTCCACAAGAGTTACCCACATGGCTGTATTTGTTTGTATTTTCCACCCTTACCTGCTTCCAGAAGACTTTGGAAGGGTGTGTTACATATTTAATGATCCAGGGCAACTTTCAAGTCTGTTAGCTCTGTGTGACACCGAGTTGCCCTGTAAGGTGTAATGAGGAGAGGCTTCATAATGAGCTGAAGTGGTTTCTGCAGATGACACCACTCAAGGGTGAGGATGCTTTTCCCTCTGCCATGTTTTCCTTTCCTGTTGGATTTGACTCTTAGATCAGTTGTTCTAAGACTGGGTTGAAGGTTGGAATTGCCTAGAGGATTTTTTAAATCCTGCTGCTAGTACCCCAGCTGCAAAGATTCTGATTTTGTCTGAAATGGGAGCAGGGCATTGGGATTGATAACATCTCCCCAGATGATTCTATTATGCAGTGGAGTTTGAGGACCACGGTCTTAGGGCATCCCTGTTATAGGGATTCTGGGGACTAACAAGAAGCTGCAGACCCCAAACTATTTCAGATGTAGTTCCAGCCCTCCTAAGCAAGTCTTGGCTCAAACCTGCTCACTCGTGCTCAGATTCGTAGCTGCTCACCTTTCAGAAGAAATGACGATGCTGGAAGAGGAAACCAAGGGGACAAGAGAGACGGCAGTCATCCCAACAGCTGTCTTGTGTTGTGCCCCTACTGTGTGCCAGACACTGTCCTAAGCACTTTACTTATATTAACTCATCCAGCTCACAACCAACAAAATGGCCCTAAGAGGCCTCTGTTGATATCATCCCCATTTTCCAAATGAGAAAACTGTCCATGGGGTCGGTCAGTAACTTGTTCAACCTGGGAGTGGCAGAGCTGGGATCTGAAAACCGGGAGCCTGGCTCTGTAGGCTTCTGTTCAAGTGACTGCATCTGTTGCCTTGTGGGATGTTCTTAGAACTGTAGGATACTGGTTGCCACATGGCCGAGAATCTTCTCTCGCTAGTTCATGCTCCATGGTGATGCAGAAGCATAGTTCTAATCTGTCATTCTGTTGCTCGGGAGCCTACACAGCCCCCCGTTGCATCTGGAGGGAGAAGCCAAGCTCCTTAGCACAGCACCTGAGAAATACCCTTTACAGCCTGGCCACTGGCTGAACATTCTTTCACTCTCCATGCCACACTGCTCTGTGAGTACCATCTGAAGGTCTCCCTTTTCTCTGTCCTCTAAATGCTCACTCTTCAATGTCTAACTCAAATATCCTCTTCTCTAACTTGTTCAGGAAGAGTGAGTGAGGCCCTTTTCTTTGTTCCCCAGGCTCTTAGTTTCTCCATCTCTGATCACATAGATCACAGCCCTTTCTTTGGTTTTCTCCAGGGGACCAAGGAGTGGGGCTCTGCCTTTCTCATGTCTGCTCTCCCTTCACGGCCCCCCACAGTGTCTTCAGTGGATGGCCAACCTCTCATGAACAGGATGTCCTCTTGTCTGAGGTTCTACCTTGTTCCAGCCATGGGGTCATACTCTCTTTATCTTTTGACTACCCAAAGGTGTTCTGATTGGGACTGATGCCTTCCTCCAAGGTACTTTGGGCTCCAAAGTGGGCAGTTGACATCTACTGTGCTTTCTGAGGCCAGGCTTTGGTTTTCGATGAATCCTGAGCTTCAGTGGCGATGTGTTGGCCTTGGGCTTTCTGTGTTCTTGAATTCCTCAGAGTCCAGAAGAAAAGGAAAGCTGACCCTTCCTAGGAAGGACCTGTGAGAAGAGAGGTTGGTGTCTTGCTACTAAGTTCAGCTTGGTTCCGGACTAAGTCACCATGGGCCAGAGGAGGCAGGGACAAGAGAGATGAGATGGTTTCTTGGCCGCTAGAAGGGAAATATTTTTGTTTGCTTGTGTACTTTTGTGGAAATGGTGGCAGTTGCTCACCAAAGAGAACTAAAACTCTTTTACTAGAGCCCCACCAGGGTCTGAAGAGGATGGGCGCATGGGAGCCATTATCTTGTAAAGGACACTGTTGAGATCTTGCTACTGCTTCAGTGAAGAGCACAGGAAAAGCCAAGCTTTTGGATGAATTCTAAGAATTTTTCATGCAGAAACCCATGCATGATGAGAATACAATCTTCATTACAACATTGTTTGACATAGAAAAATGAGACTCAGCTTAAATGCTCGTTAGTGATTGGTTGATTAAATTGTGATCAAATGGAACAGCAATACAGCTGTTTAAAAAATTAGTAAAAAAAATCAGTATGTGAGATGATGCATCTGTTAATTAACTCAACTTAGCCATTCCACAATGTGTACATAATTTAAAACTTCATGTCGTACATTATAAATATATACAATTTTTATTTGTGAATTAAAAATTAATCTAAAAACATTAGTGGCTATATGAAGTAATTGGTAACCATCTTGAAGCTGTATTAACTACCAAAGAGCAATGTCAACCTTAACAACACTGACTTTTTAAAGAATAGGGCCTAGAACAGTGTGTAGAATATGCTAACAGCTACACACTAATGCACAGCCACCAACCCCAGATCAGTTACGTGAACTTCTGCATTCACAAACACATTTAACACACTCTGTGGCTATTGCCTCTTTACTGACCTGAAAGTCAATTCTAGAAGACAGACGCTCCATGAAGGCAGGTCCTAGCCTGCCCATTTGCATTGGTATCTCCAAGGCCAACCTTAGAGAAGGCACACAATAGGCTTTCCACTAATATCTGTGAATGAATGAATGAACAGAAAGAAGAGTTTTCTTTCCACAATGTCCTTCTACCTGCTACTCCTTGAGCATATGAGGCTGGAATCTAAGCCCTGAGGTCACTCACTGCTCTCCTGGGTACTGTCCCCGGCCTCCTGGCCTTTTCCTTGAACTTCTATGCTCTGCAAGGCTTTCTCATTATCCTCTAGGCTACAGAGAAACAAGGAGACAGAGGAGAGCCTTGAAATGGACCTTCAAGATTACAACGTGTAGCTGACATTGTCAGTGAAGTCAGGCAGATCTGACTTTGCTGATTAAGTTAATGTATGAGCTGATCCTCCCCGGAAGCTGGGATCAGCCTACCCGTCTGATGGTGGGCTGGTGAGTCAGACCTCCTGGGGTTTGGGTCCTCGCTCCAGCATGGCTGCCTGTGTGACCTTGGCCACTTTACTTAATACTTAACCTTGCTGAATCTCAATTTCCTGATCTGTAAAAGGAAGCTAAAAATGCTTCTCTTGAGGTTGTAGTGAGGATTAAATGTGATAACATAAGTGAAAGTGCCCTTTGAAGCAAGAGGAAGGTGAAAGTGCTTATTGTGTCAGGAGAAATGTGTGGAGGGCCCCCTGTTGTTCTCAGGTGTCTCATCCTTCTCAGGGAAAAATCCCCACGCCAAGTCAGGAGAGGTTATAATTTGACTCTTTTTTATTCAGGCACTTCTCTTGGCTGCCCAGGGTGTTCAGCTTAAGCAAATAAATTACCCTTTTCCACTGGGCTCTGTGTTCTGTAGCCAGCCATATGTTTAAGCTTGATAGAGATTTTTATCTGGCTGGGTAATATTACCCAGCAAGGGATGACATTTCTTATCAGAGGCCCTGAGGAATCAGAGATAGGAGCCCTTTCTTTCTCCTGGCCGCTAGGCCTCCATGTGCAGGGCTGGTGGGGAGGCTGGGAGGGGCTGGCTGGGCCTGCAGTGGGCATCAGCTGGTCCTCTTTTCTTAAGACAGCACTCCTGTTAGCTGACCTACACAGAAGTAGGTCATTTCGAGATGTTTGCATCTTGGAGCCGCTGATAGAGGCAGGGCAAGGGAGAGTGAATGGGGAAGGAAGGCGGGAGTGTGATGATGCATGCCCAGCTTTGGGCGGAGGCAGAGCACTTGCCTGCGTGGGGCCCTGCCCTTCTCTTGAGAGGCAGGCAGCCCTTTGCTGCAGAGTCAAGGCCTGGGGATTCTGTGTCTCTATAGAGTGAAGGGCACTGGAGACCTACCAGGGGCTGGGCCATTGGAGTGGCGGGTCCTGGGGAGCTTCCATGGGCCCCTCCAGGTCCACTCCTTGCTCTTCGCTGCCTTGCTTTGTGCCCAGAAAGCTGACCTGTGTGGATGCATTATCAGGGGATATTAGGCAAGTGGCTGAACCTCTCTGTGCGTCTGACTCCTTATCTATGGTAACGCTTTTGCATTCCATTGATCTCTTTGCCTCTCATTTGCCCTGAATGTTGAAGGAAAGGACACTGCTGTATCCCCTGAGGGCCTGTCTGAGCCCAAAGTACACGGGGAACAAGGGCTCCAGGGTGGGCAAGAAGATGACTGATGATCACGTGATTTGGAGCTATAGCCTCCATTGGGGACACATGCTCTGGGCTCTTTCTCTCCTGAGTTTTGGGAAGTCCTGGCCTGTGCAGCCTAATTCTCAAGTACTAATCTCGCAATCATAAGAAAGGGAAGGAGAAGTGGTTTTCCTTCTCCCTGGACCCATTCCAGACAGAAGTTCCCGACTTTGCTTCCTTCCTGTTGGTGCCCACTCTGTTTCCTTCCATCCCTCCCTCAACCTCTCCCATCCCAGACCCCATGTTGGGCAACTTGAGTATAACTGTCTCTTCTTCCAGTGGCCAAGTCCAAATTCTGAAAGCACAGTTCTGAACATGTCCCTGTCCAACTGAAAAATAGTAGCTCCATGTCACCCATAGGCTTGAGGTCAGACCTCTCAGGGGGCATTTAAATCCACCGCAACATCACTCCAGCCTAGGAATAAAGCCTGAATGCCTCTGAGCCTCTTATGTGGGGAATCATTTCTAGTAAACAGGTCTCGCTTCTTGTCTTTTAAACACTACTTTCTTTCCTTGACGTCTGTGCTTTGATCCCATCGTTTCTTCTCCCTTGGATGCCTGAGAGATCCGTGGGCTCTGGCTTCAGAGAGTGCTGGGTTCAGACCTCAGCTCCAACAGTTGCTGGCTCTGTGACCCTAGGAATGTCACCTCACTACTCCAAGCCTTTGTATCCTTGATAGTAACCTGGGCTGATAGTTCCTGCCTGCAGAGTTCCTCTCACAAGAAGGCTAAAGGCTCCTACTGGGGCTTGATTTGTCAGATAAATGAGTGGGGCTTTCCCTAACCTTCGAATTGACTACCCCACTGATTATTCAAACTCCACCTGTCCTCAAGTTCCATTCCATCATTCACTTCCTCTGTGGGTTTTTCTGCCACAAAGTCATCTTCCTCTGTTTGAAAGACTTTTAGTTCCTCAACTCTGACAGCAAGAGTGGACCTCATCTCTTTCTTTTTGTGTCTGACTTCCCAGCACAGTCTCAATTTCTTCAGGGCATTGGCTGTGGTGTAAGATTCTCAGCTTGAGCACTGGAACCATTGATGGGACGATTGAGTATTCAACTCCAAGATAATGAAAGAGAGTTACTTGTTCTTTAATTGAACAAAATCTGATTGAGTGCACATGGTATGTTATGTCTGTGCTTTGCACTGGAGTTGTAAGGATACATAAAATGAAAGCTCTGTCTTCACATAGCCTATCGTCCAGTGAGGAGGTTGTGTTATTGGGAATCTGTGCCAAGCCTGGGTTGCATAAGACATAGGTAGCTGAGAACCTGGCGCTGACTGGGGACTGGGGGAAGTTCCGTGCCCAAGGAGAAGAGTATTCTTCCCTTCAGATGGATGCCCGTAATTTTATCTTTAACTTTTAAGAATTTGATTTTAATGTGTCTCAATGAAGATCTCCTTATGTTTAATCAATTACAAATTATTTGGGCTTCATGGATCTGGATGTTTATTTTCCTCTCCAGATTTGGAAAGTTCTAGGTATTTTTTTCTTTAAATAAACTTTCTATCACCTTCTCCTCTGCTTTTATTCCTCCTCTTGAGTTCCCATAATGTGTATTTTGGTTCACTTGATGGTGTCCCATAAGTCCCATAGGTTTTCTTTTTCATTCTTTTCTTCTTTTTATTCCTGTGACTCATTTCAAATG